ATACTGCTTTCAGGTCACCTACTGTGTGCTAGTGTATACAAATACCCACTCAGCTTCCCCATCCCTTGCCATTACGCCTGCACTGTGTCCTTCACACAAGGACGCAACCCCTGCCAGAATAGCCTCCATTCTGAAGCAGATCTGTGATGGCCTTGGTCGGTACATTTTTAGTACTACAGGAGATGGAAGGTAGTTTATTAGGTTACATTCAAAGCGGCCCATTCCATTACCAAGGGTGGGTGTGGGTGGATAAGCTGGAGATGGAAGCATCAGGTTTTGTACGGTTAGGAGTCAAATCAGTAAACACTGAAGGGCAGGGGCAGAAGCAGAGCTGAGGTAGACAGGTAGGTAGCAAGTCTGTAAAGGATAAAGAAAGGCCTTCATTCATTTTTGCAATTTGTCTACTTATTTTAGTGAAAATATCATCATATGGGATGGAGAACCCTGAGATGTTAAATAAGGGAAAGAAATTGTAGCTGACAGGTTTGTCCATGGAGGTGCATGGATTTGAGTGCTTGACATCTGCAAGTTCTTGTTTGGGGATCCTTGCACATTCAGTTATGCGGGTGCTGAATTAAGAGTTGCCACCTCTTTTTTGAGAGAGTTTCCTCTTAGTGCAAAACCTCACTTCAGTGGCAGGCAGGTACAATAGGGTCCTCTCCCAATTGGGAGTGGCTGTGCCTGTTGATTTTGGCCATTGCAAAGAGAGCAAATTTTAATTTCAAATTGGTTTATTTACAAAAATGCACACTGTTTTTCGTATCCCTGGTGGAAAGGATGTGAAGTTTACAAAACTGAAATGCTAAAGAAAGCAACAATCTTGAGTAGGGATTTTCCCATCCTATCACTCCATTCAGGTTTTTTTAAGTATATAAAATACACCACACCTCTTAATAAAGCTAGTGCATGGTTTATTTTGTGATTGTTTGGAAAGATCTTGACAACAAGCATGTTTTTAGAAAATCAAGAGCCTTACAGCCTTTCAAAGTACAGTATAAATACGAGAGCAGGATCAAGCGCTGCATTTCAGCAATAGGAATCCAATGCAACTGGGCAAGAGGAGAATCTCCACTCCCTGTTGTGTCTTTCCACTACTGCTCTGGAGTGCAGGAAAACCATACACAGTCAATTATTGGGAGGCCCCAAATGATGCAATATGGGGACAGGGGGGAAGTTCCATCATGCTGGTAATGCATTGTTGGATTTCGGCCCAAATCATTAGTATAGCAATACATATAAAGAAAAGTTATAAAATATTAAGTGGCTAAAAAAAGCAAAAGACTGAAATTGACCAATTCTATGAAGACTGACAACACCTTCTAGAACTGACACCAAAGAAAGATGTTGTTCTCCTAGGGGGTTGGAATGCTAAGGTAGGGAGTCAAGAGATAAAAGGAACAACAGGGAAGTTTGGCTTTGGAGTTCAGAACGAAGCAGGGCAAAGGCTAATAGAGTTTTGTCAAGAGAACAAGCTGGTCATCACAAAAACTCTTTTCCAACAACACAAGAAGCGACTCTACACATGGAAATCACCAGATGGGCAATATCGAAATCAGATTGATTATATTCTCTGCAGCCAAAGATGGAGAACCTCAATACAGTCAGCAAAAACAAGGCCTGGAGCTGACTGGGGCTCTGATCATCAGCTTCTCATAGCAAAATTCAAGCTTAAACTGAAGAGAGTAGGAAAAACCACTGGGCTAGTCAGGTATAATCTAAACCACATCCCTTATGAATACACAGTGGAAGTGAAGAACAGATTTAAGGAACTAGATTTGGTGGACAGAGTCCCTGAAGAACTTTGGATAGAGGCTCGTAACATTGTCCAGGAGGCAGCAACAGAAACCATCCCAAAGAAAAGGAAATGCAAGAAAGCAAAGTGGCTGTCCAACGAGGCCTTAGAAATAGCAGAGAGGAGAAGGGAAACACAATGCAGGGGAGATAGGGAAAGCTACAGAAAATTGAATGCAGACTTCCAAAGAATAGCAAGGAGAGACAAGAGGGCCTTCTTACATGAACAATGTAAAGAAATAGAGGAAAATAATAGAAAAGGAAAAACCAGAGATCTGTTCAGGAAAATTTGAGATATTAGAGGAACATTTTGTGCAAAGATAAACATGATAAAGGAC